GGCTATGCCTGACCTTGTCCCTGTGGGAGACGGGCCTCAGCCCCACAGGGCACTGGGCTTGCACACACCTCCCCTGCTCCTGGCACGTGCGCTGGACTTGATCAGGACGCCGCGCAGATGCTGCCGGCTCCCATCTGTCCGCTGCGCGACCTGATGTTCCTTCCTGCGGCCCGGGGGTCCCGGATGAGGACGGGCTCGCGTGGTCCTGGCGTGCAGGTGCTGGTGGAGCTGTGGCTCACGCGTGGGCATGCTGGGGCTGTCCACCCAGGGAGGCTCTGGGCACCTCAGCGAGGGAGCGAGGGAGCGCGGTGACTGGGCTGGTGGGTCCGGCGTGGCTTCCCGGCTGCCTTGGTTCCCTCGCTCCACGGGGCTGTTGCTCGGGACGGTCTGTTTACAATGCTAAACATATCAGATAATTGAAAGCTAATGCCGCTGTCTGGATCACTAGACATAATATGCCTGGATAACAAATCAATTTCCTCATCGCCCCACAAGGCTTCCAAGTCAGATGCACAGCATGTTCTGTGTGTGTGCGTGCGTGCGTGCGTGCATGCGCTTTCCGTTGCTGACTGGTTATTTGGGAAGTGGAATTCCAGGCTGCTTTCCCCAGGCACCAACTCTGTCCTTCTGTCCGGGTCTCCATCCCAGAGCAGGATTCGGGTGAGGAGGGGCTGGGCACCCCAGCTCTGATGGGAACGACAGCCTGGAAAGAAGGGACATCTGTCCGCGGCCTTGTTCCCCGAAGCTCAGTCTGTGTGTTGGGCGGGCAGAAGCTCATGTACAAAACCATGTGCGGAGCGCCGGTTCCCACTGCCTCCTGCCAGGGCGCAGCTCCAAGGCCGGCCCGGGGGCAGCGTGTTAGCGGTGCCACCAGGGCGTGGGGGTGAGGACACTCCCTCCCAGAAGACATCACTTCTCTGGCACCTCAATCAGAAAGGGGGGGCGAAGCAAGGGCAGACCTACCTATGTGTGTGTGTGTGTGGGGGGTGTGTGTGTGTACGTGTTTGTGAGAATCTCCTCATATCCCCTTACATCCATGTTCAGCTCCTCCTTATTCTCACTGAACACAGAATTCCCGCCACAGTAACGGAACCAGCTGTTCATTGCATTGGCGCTGTGCACCGACCCTGGAGGGAGGGCGCGGGCACCGCCTCCACCAGTCCTCACAGCATCTGGGTTTCCCAGGAGGAAACTGAGGACAGGAGGGGCTGGAGCCACTGGCCCAGCGGCTTCTCAGTTCAGAGCTGAGGGTCTCGTCTAGGTCAGCCCGCCCTCAGGGTGCCCACTCCTCACCTCTGTGCTCCCAGGGGCTGCAGAGCAGACTGGTTGAGGCGCCTTGGAAGGGGGAGGGGCCCTCCAGCAGGTGTTCAAGGGGGTGATGCCCCACAACCTGATGGCAGGGAAAGAGCCAGAACACCACTGAGCACAGATGCAGGGAGCATTCGCTTCAGGAATCAGCTCGGGGTGGGGCTGTCTTGGGTGGGCACACATTCGGGGAACACTGTGTCACAGTTCAGCAAACTAGTTAGGTTGGTTATGGTCACCCAGGACCATCCAGAAAATGACGCCCAACCAGCATGGTTGAGTGTCGACCTATGAACCTGGAGGTCACGGTTCGATTCCCGGTCAGGGCACATGCCCGGCTTTCGGGCTGGATCCCCAGGAGGGGGCGTGCAGGAGGCAGCCGATCCATGATTCTCTCCCTCTCCCTTCCTCTCTGAAATAATTAAAAATATATTTAAAAAAAGAAAATGTACGTACGCCACCTTCTGCCCGCCCCGCTTAAGAAGTCCAGGAGGTGCATAATGCACTTTAGGGCCGAGAAAGAAACACCAGCAGGAGGCTGAGCTCACACAGGCTTTGCACTGAAGGTTAGTTGTCTGGAAAGTCTGGTTACCAGGCAGCTCATGCACAGCAGTGAGACGCGATGGAGGTCGCCGAGACCTGACGGGGGAGGAGGGAAAGAGGTGGAGGGGAGGGACGCTGGGCCTGCCGCCGCCGCAGGAAGGACTTTTCCGTCCCTCCCGAGTCCCCAGGTGACCGGGGCCATTCTGTGAGGTGAGGGTGCTGGGCCCTTCCCTGGGCCTTCCCAGCAGCCTCAGGCCCCTGGTGTTTCTACGCGTAGGACTCAGCCCTCGGTGCTGTGAACAACTGAAACATATCCACATGACATGTTTTTAATTAAAATATGGGTCACACAGTCTGCGCCATCTAATTTTCCTGTGCGTGGAGGTTGCCAATTCATTTCCATGTTGGCTCGGGACAAACCGGAGGTAGGAGACTTTGGCACGGAAGCACGGCGCGGTTTATTCTCGCACAAGGGGACGTCATATTTTCTGTGGACGTGGCCATTAATACCTCCCTGTGCCCTAGCCCATCCCCAAGGGCTGTGAAGGGTCCACGTGTGGTGTGGGCGTATCTGCCCCAGACCTGGGTGCTGTTTGTGCGACTCAGGGGGAGTGGCCTCCTTTCAGACAGTTTCCCTCTTCCTTCTGGAGGGACTGTGCACACGAGTGGTCCCCTGGCTCCTCGTCTGAAGCTGGGCCCCGTGAATGAATGGATGGATGGATGGATGGATGGATGGATGAATGGATGCGCATCCGCGGGAACGCTGCGATCCGCTTGTAGTTTACATGAGCCGGTGGCCCGGCGGATACGCTGGTGGGGACGGGGCTGGCACAGGTCCTCCTCCTGCAGGCCTTCCTTTTCATCAGACATGGAGCTGGGTCCCCACCCTGCTGGCACCAGGTCAAGTCAGCGGCCGGTGGCTGCAAGCTTCCAAGAGAAGCCTTTGGCCTTGGACTTTAACTCTGAGCTGGCCACCTGGTCCACGGCCCCAGCAGATGCCCGTGTGTCTGGCTGCCCAGCAGGGGCCCCGAGAGAATGTGCTACACGGCGGGCTCCCGCATACCGTGTCACCGCGGCCCTGAAACGCTTCCCGCGGCCCCGGCCGCTGCCCCGCAGCCTTCCTGGCTCTGGCTACACGTGGTGGCAGATGGCAGGGCCGTGGGTGGTGGGCAGGGAGGCGACGTCTGGGAAAGGTGGCTGCCACTTCTCGGGCCTGGGTGTCCTGCGGGGAGCTGTCACCTCCCTGCACTTCGGGGCCACTGATGGGAACGGCGCATCCAAGGAGGGTGTGTGGGCATTGACTCTGCCTGGACTCCTGGGGCATCGGGATCGTCAATATCCAAACCCCTGAAAGCTGCCTGGCAGGGGTGGCCCCGCCCGTGTGGGACCCACTGGGATTTGCACCAGGTCTCTCTGGCTTCGAGCCAGCGCCTGTCCGTGGCCCCTCAGCTGACCTGACCCCGCTTTTCCTCCCCAGACACATAGAGAACTGGCGCGGCCTGCACACGCTCAACGCCGTGGACATGGAGCTCTACACGGGCCTGCAAAAGCTGTGAGTGTGCGCCAGGCCCCGGGATGTGGGGGGGCAGGGGGGAGGGCGGGGGAACTGCCTGTCTGCCTCCTGGGCCGGGTGAGGGCACAGCATGGCCCCTGTCTGCACTTCCGGGGGTTCCTCTGTTAGTGGAGGGGGCACCGCCCACTCGGAGAACTCGGGGGCTTGAAAGGCTGGCCCCTCACGCTCCCACATTGCACTGGGCCTGCAGGACATCTCACCTGTGGCTCAGGTGTCAAGGCAGGACCCTCTGCGGGGCTAACAGGCCCCCTGGAGCATGAAGTTCCCCGGCCTCCTCCTCAGGACTTCAGTGCTGGCGGCTGGGGGGACTCGAGGTGGGGAGGAGGCCCCAAGGGGGGGCCCGTTCTCAGGCACCTGCCAGTCTGGGTGGAGGACAGCTGCCAGCACTGCCCACCCACATCCCGAGCCGTCCCCCAGGTCCCGTGGGGTGTGAGCCCAGATAGCCCTCACTTGACACCCCCCGGTGGGTATCATCAGTGCCCCGTGGTGCCCAGTGGTGCCGATGATGAAGAGAGTTCACTTCAGCGGGGCGGCTGCAGGTCCAGGCCTGGCCTGGCCTCCTGTCGCCCTCAGCCCGCAGCAGGTGTCTCTCTGTCCCCTGAGCTCTGCTGACTCTCTCTCTCCCTCCAGGACCATCAAGAACTCAGGACTCCGGAGCATCCAGCCCAGAGCCTTTGCCAAGAACCCCCACCTGCGCTACATGTGAGTAGAGCGGGGTCCTGGCCCCTCGAGCCCCTGCCGTGGGACGCGCCTGAGGTGCATGCTTTGCAGCTGGAGGCATGGCCATGGCCAGAGGGGGCCTGGGGCCAGATGTTCTGGGTGTTTATTTTATAAGGGATCTGAGGTTCCATGCAGAACGTCCCAGGGGACGCGCTTCTGACCTCTGGCAAGTCTCCCTTTTCATACTGAGCCACACAAAGGTCACAGAGCTGGTGCCTGCAGCGTGCCGGTGGGGACAGTGCCTGCAGCGTGCCCGGCGGGGACAGTGCAGGTGCAGGTAGGGACCACGTGTCCCTTCTAAGGGAGCCACTAAGCTCCCAGCTGATGGCTGTACCTGGAGGCGGGACTTCCTGCTGCGTGTGGAGGCGGGGCTTCTTGCTGCCAGATGTGCTGATTTTTATTTTATTTTCCCAAGAAGAGCTGGAGGTCTAGTAAAGCCTGTCAGTTTAAACCCTGGCAACTAAAAGTAAAATCACTCCACCCCATTGGCCACACAAGATTGCTGTGGGCAGATGCCACGTGGACGCCAGGGTCATGCGCGGGAGAGGAGCCCTCATCATGGGGGGACAGGGGAGCTCTGTCCCCAATGGGCCGTGGCTGGCTGCTCATGCCCTCAGGCCTTCTAACATTGTGTCACCTGCGCTCTCAGGGGAATCAGGAGGGCTTTGGGGCCTGTCACGTTTCCAGGGGCCACAGAAGAGGGAGCCGGGCTGCATCCCGGGTCACGGGTGCCTCTGAAGTTGGTTGTACCAGGACACCTTTGACTTACCCTGAGGTCCCAGACAGTGACCCACCGTTTCTTTGGGGATGATCTGCCCTCTCTCTGCTGGGTGGTGAGTGACAGGCTGGTGGGCTTTGCGAGGTCCCCAGGCTCTGGGGTCAGGGTGTCTGCTGGGACTCGGTACTGATGGACCTGGGAAGTCTGCCCGACCCTGGGCCCTGTTTTCTCCTGGATCACATCTACCAACACTGTTGACCTTGGGTTGTCGGCCGAGTCCTCCAGCCCCACCTCTGCAGCTGCTCAGCCCTTCCTGGTCTGGGTGTGTTCCCTCTGGCCTGGCTCACACATTGACTGGGCCTCCAGTCTGGGGTTGCCTGAAGTAATGTCGACGAACTGCACTCAAATGAGGGTGTTTCCTTTCACCTGTAGAGCACGTCATGGTTCCCACTGTGCTTTCTCCTACATGATCTCATTTAATGCCGGTAGGATCCTGGGTGGAGGAGTGTGGTGCAGCCTCATTTACAGCCCTGGAGCCCTGACTTGTAAGGCGCAGAAGTAGGTTGCCACCAAGTCCTCTGATTCCCTTCCCAGGGGTCTTTCTGCTCTTCCTCCTAGGCCAGAAGGGGAAGCATTTTTCCAAAAAGTTACTAAGATATTTAGAAAATTGTGTTAAAAAAGGCTAGCATCAGAAGAGAGGAGGGGAAGGCTCACATTGGGTGAGACTTCACTGGGTGCCCAGGACTGTGCTGGTGCTTTTGCAAAGTCAGCCTCACTCCTCGCAGGAACTGAGGGTCAGGTTCTGCTATGCCCATTTCATAGATGAGAACTTCGGGGCTTGGAAGTCATCACTGGCTTCCCTCAAGGTTGAATAGCTGTTAGTGGAACAGCCAGGACTTGGCCTCTAGGCATGTTTTGTCTCTCTCTCTAGTTTTCACAGTAAGAAGTCTTCTTGTGAGGAGAGAGCGAGCGAGCGAGAGAGAGAGAGAGAGAGAGAGAGAGAGAGAGAGAGATTTCCCAGGGGATTTGGCGCCAGCCGTCCTCAGACAGCTCTGTTGAGACAGCGGGTTTCCTTTCTTCCCTATTCAGGTCAAATGCTGTAGCCACAGTCGCATTGCAGCCCGAATATCTCTATTATAGGAGGTTTCAGAGCATTAGCCTCTGGCCCACTTACTTCCAAGAACATGTAACGTAAGAGTCCAGCAGCCAGAATCATCCCCTCATCCCTCTGAGTTGTGGTGCCAGATCTCCCTCGTGTTCGGGTTCTTGTTTCCCCTGAAGAAGCTCTGGGTGCCTTGTTAGCCGTTTCTCTCTGTCCTGGGCAAGTGTGACCTTGATCTTCAGCCGTGGGCGTGTGACGGGTGAGGAGGGGAGGGTGTCCTGATCTCGGCGGAGGGAGGGAAGGGGCTGGAGTGCCAGCCTTTTCGGGACATGAAGGCGACAGTTTCCCCTCAGATTCCCGGGATGGAGACACAGCCAGACTGATTGATTCCGTGTTGTAAATCACTCAACTCTTTTCTCCTTGAAATACCCCCACCCTGGGCCCCAGGACAGTGTACAGCGGCTACGTCAGTAGGCGTTTGCGTCCTCTGCCCCTTGCCTCTGAGAGGGATTGCCCCCGGCGCACTGGTCCCCTCACGGCTTCCCCTTGCGCCTTTTTCTGCTCCTCGTGGAGGACACAGCCATCGAACTCTGTGCAGTTCCCAGGCAGGAGCTCGGGCTCTGAGCTGGAAAGGCCCGGGTTCAAATCCTGCATCTTCTTGTCCTGCTGCGCGACCTTGGGAAGCTGGTGAAGGTCGTGAGTCTGAGGGGATTGTTCTACCCTCAACCAGGACGGCCATTAGGAAGCGCTGACGACAGTGATGACTTCGTGGCCGCTCATTGGCCTCTGATTTCATAGATGAAGCTGGAAGGGGCTCAGAGCCAGCCCCCCCAAGTCCATATCGCATCCCTGCCCCCACCCTGCCCTTTAGGCTCCTAGTAAACTTCCCTCCTGACAGCGAAAATGTCAGGCTCAACGTGGCCCAAACAAGTCTCAATTCAAGGTCACGTCCTCACTCCAGCCTGTTTTCTCTCAGGGTTTCTTGTTAACCCTTTACCTGCCCCCCTCCCACTGTTTAATTCATCCCGTCCCTGAGAGATGCTGCGCCCATCGCTCCCCTTGCCCGCCGTGCTGCCGTCTTGGTTTGTGTCAGCGTCCTCTCTGCTGGCTCCATGGTGACGGCCCCCCGGGGGCTTTCTTCCCTCCACTTTTGTCCCTTCCATTCATCCTGGCACAGTTGCCAGAGCAATATTTAAATACATAAGTTCAGTCGTGCCACTCTGCGGCGTACAGACCTCTAACTGTGTCCTGCTTTCCTTAAGATGGAAGCCACGCCCTCCACATGGTCACAGGAGGCAGCTGACTGGCTGGTTCCCCTCCTGCCTCCGCCCCTGGTTCCCTGCTGGGCCAGGGCCCTCTCTCAGCCCCTCAACCCCTTGCAGGTGGTTGGCGCTTTCTCATCCTTCACTCTGATGCCACCTTCTGAGCGAGACCCTCTGCCCACCCAGTCTTCGTGGCGCTTCTCCTTCCACTCCTGTCGCTCTCCATCACCTCGTGTGGCTTCACCGCTCCCCAGGCCTTATTCCTGTGGACTGGCTGCCAGCATCTCGCAGTCACTTAATTGTTCGCACTCTGTCCCCCCGGGAGGAGGTGAACTCCCATAGAGCGGGCCTTTGTGATGGTCACCACTCTAGCTCCAGCGCCCAGAAACACGCCCGGCACAGGGCGCGCAGTCCAGAGCGATTGGCTGAGTGTATGAGGGACTCTAGTCTAAGGTGGCCATTCTGTGGGCGGCAGGATGGATGTCCGGGGTGGAGAGCTCTTCTGACCAATATCTCACGGGTAAGAGCGGGGCCGGGTCTAAAACTCAGGTCTCGGCACTGTGTGTTTTTTTTAATCCTCATCTAAGGATATGTTTTCATTGATTGTTTATAGAGAGAAAAAGGGGGAGAAAGAGAGAGAGAAACATCAATGTAAGAAAGAGAAATGGATCAGTTGCCTCCCGTATACACACACCCTGACCGGGACTCGAACCCGTTACCTTTGATGTGTGCGATGCTCCAGCCAACGGAGCCGCCCAGTCAGGGCGGTGCTGTCTGTTGGATATTCCTTCCACCATGTCACCCTCGTGACTTTTCCTGGGTCCTGTCTAGCCAAGCTCCTCAGACTTCTGGGGAGGGCAGGAAGGCGCAGTCCGGTTTGAATGAAAGGATGTATTGGCAAGTAGCCTATGCCCAGCATTGACATACAGCGCTGATGCGATAGCACGACAAATGGGACAGTCACGTGCAGCATCACTCTGCTGAAATGTCACATGAGGATGTGCAGCGGAGGCACCTGGTCTCCCGGAGCCTTCTGCTCGCATCGCTCCACCTGCTCACCAGCCGTCAGACCCGGTGCCCACGCTGCGGCCTCTGACGACGTCCATCAACCACTGTGCTGGCTTGGCTGAGTCGTTAAGAGCGTGTGCTCTAGAACACGCTGCCCGAGTTTAAATCCTGGCTCTACCACCTCCCTGTGCATCCTGGGCGAGTTACTTGACGTGTCTGCATATCTGAGCCTTGATGTTCTCCTTTGTAAAGTAGGATAATATGGTTGTCAGCCGGGTTAAGTAGCTGATGCCTGTGAGGCGCTGAGAAGAATGCCTGGCCCACAACAAGAGCCTGATGTATGTTGTTGTTGTGGCTGTTTTTTTTTTTTTTTAAATTTTATTGATGTCAGAGAGGAAGGGAGAGGGAGAGCGAGACAGAAACATCAATGATGAGGGAGAATCATGGATCGGCTGCCACCTGCACGCCCCCTACTGGGGATGGAGCCTGCAATCCGGGCATGTGCCCTGACTGGGAATCAAACCCTGACCTCTGGGTTCATGGGTCGACGCTCACGCAGCGAGCCACACCGGCCGGGCATGGCCTGAATGTTACAGTTTGGTTATGCTCTTGTCAGCCTTACCTTCCAAAAATTCGGTCTAATGCCGAGTAAGCAGCGTGGCCCTGGCTGCGTCTCCTGGCCGTGGAGGTAGACACGGGTCGTGTTTTCCAGCTTCGTTTATGCTCAGTTGGTTTTCTGTTCTCCCCCCCTGCCCTGAGGCTTCATTGCTTCCCATTTGTCCACACCCTCTTCTCATTGTTCTTGTTAGGGACAGTCTAGAAAGTGAGATCAGTCCCTGGCTATTTTGGATCATCATTAATTTCCGTCCCTCTCCGTTCCTTAGCAGGCTGG